CTGAGTTTGTGGTTTTTGATTAAAAAAAAAAAAAAAAAAAAACATGGCTAACAGTTCTTACATGAAACTTGGAAAATCCATGATAGTTTTCCAAGCTTCAAGCAAGAGCTGTTAGCCCAATTGGTATATAAAAATCAAGGCAACCTTAAAGAATTTATGTGCAGTAAAAAAAAAAAAAAGAAAAAAAAGAAAAAGAAATCAATGTCTAATAAATTATACTAGCATCAGAGCTCATACAACCTCAGACCATATTTCCTTTGTACATGTCATGATGCACCCCAGATTTGTCAAATGTCATCAGACAAATTTGTTTTTTGTTTCATCTGACCATATTACATTGTCCCAAAACTATCCTCTTGTACAAACTTTAAATAAGTTTGTTTGTGTCTTTAATTCAATAGTAGTTTTCTACATGGTCATTGACCATTTAAGCCTATTTTGTTTTGGAAATGATTGTTGCAATCAAAACATTTACTGCACACCTTTTTGTACTTCATTAGTGTTTTTCTAGGATCTTTGTTCACCAATCTTCTGATATAATAAATAAAACTTTAGGTAAGTTTGCATGGCTGACCTGGTAGCTTTTGTAAATGTCTAACTTTGATTTTTCTTTCAATTTTGTATATTTTCAACAACAAAATGTTTGCTTAGTCTTGTAGCTATTGTTTTTTGTGTAAATAAATATGTTCCTTAAAACCAGGAGAGTTGTTTTCCAAGTGGAGACATTTATCTAAAAAAATGTCTCCACATGGAAAAGTGCTTTTATAAAAATTATTTTAGCATTGTGACCTATTTATACACTAATTTACTTAAAGCCCTCTCCCAAACCATTCTGACTTGAAAATATACTTATTGTACAGAATGAAAATCTCTGCACTTATTTTTGGACTATTACATAATAATATCCATTTCAATTGTAAAATAGATTACTAGTACTAGAAATAATTAATTCCTGGTATATTTGGTTTGAAAGAAATTTAAAAAAAAAAAAAAAAAAAAAAAAAGATAGGGAGTGTACTTATTTATGGACAGTATTTTAAAACTATGCATTTAGAGTCATTGATTAAATCAAGTTTCTAACCATGTGAGAAGTCAATAATTTTCCAGTTTGCTATGCTTAAAAATTTAAGGTTTTACTTTGTTTTGCATTATCAGTATAACTTGATTACTTTTAGTTTATGGTGAAACAAGAAGTCTGCCTTGATATTAGTGCAAAAACAGTTAGCATCATGCATAAATGGAAATGTTAATGTGGATTTAAATAAAGTTAAAAAATATTGAAAGATTTTAAGTTAGTTTCCATATATCTATAGATACTGTACATTTAGCTTATGCTAAAAAGTTTGACAAACAGCTGAAAAGAAGTCTTACAGTAAGTTAATCTACTTTGAGTCCAATCAGCTGAAGGTACCTTTTATTATGAACTGGTATATATTTTATGACTATACTTTACTAGGAGTAACTAGCGATTGTTCCTAATGCTTTTTAATGAGCAAAATGAAACAAACCTATATATACTTGTTCTGCCTGAAAATTCAACTTCTACAAACTATATAGCATATTCAGTATATTCCAATTATTTGCACACATAATGAATGTAATAATATATAATAAAGCTATACCAGTAATGATTTCTCTGTACATTTTTTAAGAGAAGCACTAAAAATAAGGCTTGTAGAAAGATTAAAATTTAGCAAATTCAAAAGTACATATACACATATAACAACTAGGGAATAATTCATTTTAATGAGAAAAGAAAGAAAAACAAATCTGATGATTGTTTGGTGAGTAACACATTATACATTAAGATGTATAGAAAATTAACTACTTGTTACTTATGAACATTCAAATATATTAAATACAGGAATTAAGATTGGTAAGTTATGACTATTTCTGGTCAATGTGATAAAGCTCAAGTGAAAACAGCCAAGCCCTAGTGGCCACAATTAATTCTTGAAGTATGAATACAAAGCCACACAAGTATCATATATTCAATATAAAAGTGATGTCAAGCTGACATTATGCAATATTTCTACCTATACAAAACTGAACCATGTTAATTTGGAAAGTTTCAGCAGATCACTTATGAATTAGAAAATTTTAATGCTTTCATAATTAGGAAAGAAGTGGGGGAGTGAAAAAAAAAAACAAAAACCCTTAAGCTGAAAAACTTGAACACTTTACAGAAGAGAGAGAGAGAAAAAAACAATAAAAAACTCCAATTTATAGCTGACACTTCTAAAATAGTCAGAAAGACAACTGATTTGACGCTAGACAACGTTTACTCCAGTAATCAATTAGATAAAAAACTTCTACAATCCAAATATTTACACAAAGAATTTAATTAGTATTTATTTGGCATTTTTTCTAAGTTTCAAACTTATATGCAAATAATTTTAAAAAGAATACAGGATCTCCAACCAAAAGAAGCCACAAAGAATAAAATAAATAAATTGCATGTTAAAACATGAGAGTTTATGTAAAAATCAACAATTTTTATTGCTTATCAAATAATAGATTTCTCAATTGAATCATAGGAATCTCAAAATTAAGTTAAAGTTCAATTCGACAAGAAATTATCCTAATAATATGAAATAATGTTACTTTTTACATAGCAGTGGCTAACAATAAGTAACAGGTGTCAAAAATTATAAAATAAATTTATACTGAAATTAAACCAAATGGATTTAACCTTGGAAAATATGATACTTGATATTGGTATATACATTAAAAAGCAAAATCTGTATATAAAAGTTACATGTAAACTTTTAGGATTAAATGAAATTTAAGAAAATAAATAAGATTAAAAACAAAAAAGCAAATCAGTGCAAATTAATCTTAAATTTCTGATTACGATATCAAAGAAATCGAGAGTTTAATTGCTACATTTCGAATTTTAAGCAATGAGAAAATAGACGAATAAAAAGGGCAACATTATGAAGGTAAAGAAATCAGCTGAAATAAAGTTGATTACAAATGTTACTAATTATTGCAAATAAATATGATCCAAAGTTAGTCCTAGTTATCTAAATGAATAATCTCCCTTGTTTAAGTCTTTATTAATGATAGATTAAAAAGAGTAAAAAAAAGAATCTACAATCACATTAGTAAATTATTTAGAATGAAACCAAGATTAATTGAATTTAGTCATTATATATATATATATATATATATATATATAAATTATTTAGATTTTTTTCATGACAATTAAAAATATTACAATTTTTGTTTTTGAAGAGACGAAATGATCTGATATTTTAATTAATGAATTTTGTTGACTAAGTAAGTCGAATTTAAAAAAAAAAGAAAAGAGTATTAATAGGAAGAAAATTAAAACGAAGAAATAAATTATGAACATTAAGGAAATTTATTTTTTTTTGTACAGCGTAAAACACTGCAAATATTTGGTCAATCGAAATAAATGTGAACAAAATATTTAAAACTAAAGCTCTAGAATCTGAATGAAAAGAAATAATAATTAAATTAAAAAAAAAAAAAAAAAAAAATTATATTTGTTGAAATCATTTCAAATATTATGTTCATTTCAATATTTCATAGTCTAACGAACTCTATTTTTCATTTCACCAAAGCAAAAAAATAAATTTTTTTCATCCTAAAACGAAATTAATATTGATCAGCAATTGTAATTTCCGTTGTTTAATGTTTTTAAAATCCTTATTTCTTAGACGATCAAGAAAGAAAAAGACTTGTTTTCGGTTTTATTCGAATATTAATGATTACATTATTATTATTTACAATCATTATCCGCGTATTAAAAATCTTTTTTTAGACTCAACTCAATTTATAAAAAAAGAAAAAAAAAGAAATTGCTATCAGCGTTTTTCCTTTTGATCAAAAACAAACTTATATTTATGAATATAGTAAGTATTGTTCAGTTTTTAATCAGATACACAATAAAACGAAAACAAAGATCTCTAAATATTTTCTTTTGTGTGTTCTTTGAATATCATTTTTGAAATGACACGTCAGAAAGCCATCTGGTTCACAAAATGAAAACGAAAGACAAATAAGAACTTAATAATAAAATTTATTTCACAAAAATTATTTTAAAGAATATAAAGAGTTAATTCATTTAAATCAAGGCAGAAAAATCCATGAGATCATTTTTCTTTAAAGAAAATGATTCTCTAAAATTACAATGTTACACGTGTTTAAAACGTAACGTAAATGTTAAATTTTATCAACATCCTTAATAATATTTAAACAAAAAACTAAGGTTTTATACGTGAATATTATTATTTTTTGTTTTTTTTTTTACTAAAAAAAGAAAATAGAGATGAAGGTTAAGGTAGTAAATATCATTACGTAGAAATATTTTTTCACGCTTCTTTCCAACAGAAGGAAAAAAAATCCCAAATTAATGCAGCTCGGAAGCAAGAAATGGAAATAATTAATTATTAGAATCTATGAAAAGTCTTCTTACACAACTTGTAGCTCTAACTAAATTTTATAAAAATTATCATCAACCAGTGTGTAATAATTATTTAGGCGGATGTCTTCATGTTTAGTTTTGATAACTACAGAAGATCTATCTATTTTGAGAAAATGAAAAGATCTAGGACCGACAGGAGACCGGAAAATCCCCCCCAAACACTTCTTTGCATTTATTAAAAATATCAAAGATAAGTAAGAAATAGACAACTGCACACCTATTTTATCGCAAGATAAAGTCGTATTATAAAAAATAAAAATGTGATAGATAGTCTTGTGTAATATAAATCTACAATGAAGAAACCGCATTAACATTCAATTATGTATTTAATAAATTAATTTTAATGAAATAAATTAGTCTTTCTTTACTCTTTAAGTATGACAAGAATAGAAAAAAAGCAGGTTAATAATCGCCATGTTGGTTGACATGGTGCGTGTGTGAAATTCGATAGATTTTTTTTAATATTATAAAAAAAAATAAAGACAGTTTAAGATAAACATTATTAATCAATATGCTTAAAGAAGTCCTTTTTATTCTTTATACTTACCCATAAGAATTCGCATTTGCTTTTTGCCAAAAAGCCGATTGAAAATATTAGAAATTGTCAGACCCATAGTTGTTCAGTCTGCAGTAGTAGTCGTCGTATTTTGAAGTATGGAGCAAAAATTTATCTTCGTTCTTTCCTTCAAGTTATTTATTTCCTTATGGACGGCAAAGAGTTATTAAATCCTTTCAGTAAAATCTGCAAAGAAAGTGGGTAATACACTTTTGCTTTTTCTGCTCAAAATGTTAGCTTTCTTTACCATGCACTTCTTTTCCTTCCTGGTTTTGTCTTACACTGCTGTTGCACGAGATGTTCACCAGGAAGAGATAGTACCTTCTTCTGATTTTTGTAAATAATTCTTTAAGCAACGTACAGGTTTCAAATGAGAATAATAAGCAGTATTAAAACTATCCAACTAGAAGTTTCTCTCTATATTCTAAGTCTCTTAAAAAAACTGTAAGGGTTTTAGTCCGTAGAAAACAACACGTAGAGACAATGTTCGTGTCTTCTTTCTCCTGATCGTCACAAACTTGTGATTGAAGATAACGTCGAAGGGCGCTCTTATAAACAACTAACAACAACAACACAGACAGGCGAACCTGATCGGTGTTAAGAGTTGTTAGACAAGAAATAGGGAAGAGTTATCAATTCGCTGGAGTGACTTCAACGATCAGTGCCACGTCAGTTATGCCAGCCACACAAGCTTGTCTGCGCGTGACGTCACGCCCACATCCCATAATGATATTTAGACAACATGGCATAGGCCAACCTAGCAATAACCAGCATTTTGCAAACCTCATTTAGGGAGATGCGTAAAAATTTTATGAACTCATTCACCTACCTAGTTAGATATATGTATTTATACTTTGTAATAAGCCGAAACTGATAAGTATTTTTATTTTATTTACACTACAGTTCTATTTTACATCAGCTGTAGTTTCACCTACAGGTCGTCAAAGAAGAGAAGAAAAATAGTCTGAAATTGAAACATCTGGCAGAAGCTGAAAACCTAAATAAACAAAGTAAAGGTTTTGCATGCATGCGTTTTAATATGTATTATTATCGTTCCCTATGTGAGTGAGTGCGCGCGCGCGCGCACACACACACATACACAGAACAATAGAGAAACCAATTTTTACTCAGTCTCCTCTTTTTGCCATTATTGTCAAATATTTGTGAAATCTACCTCTATTAGCTGTCTCAAAACGTATAAGGCATAGTTTTATCATTGTTGTTATTTCCTCTATCACTGGTCTTGTACCTACAGTATTTAATATCATACAAATACAATATTGTACTATATTGCATGCCAAGAAATCATTTGATGACTATACTTGTCCTGTTCTACCAATTCATTTTTACTTAATTTTCCTTAAGAAGACACCTGCAATCATTCCCAGGAAAGTAGTATGGAGACAAAACTTTTATTCAGTTCCTACTGTGTTCTTAGCATGACATAAAGACTAAAAGTGATGTCTCTTTTCTGCAAAATTGCAATTGTATTGACCTAATAGCAAGTTTGTTCGAGAACACAATTCAAAATAAACAAATTTTTAGGGACATGGGCAGAAAGTTTAGAGAAATATAATTGCTGCTACTACATTTGTGCCTTGTAAATAAAAAGGGACACACAAGCTATTTTGCTGTGTAGTGAGTTTATGCCACAATGGCAGCAGGAGACACAGATGAGTGACTGTAGAAGACATATGTAGTAGCATACAATGCCTTTAAGAACCTATATTCTTAAAAAAACATACTCTCTTCTCTTTGCCTTTGTATAGGGTGAAAGACATGAACAGACATTAGAAATTTTAATGAAATAAATTAGTCTTACTAATAATTATCCTGATATATTTACTGACAATAGTTTTACTAATTTTACTGACCAGCAGGGAGAAGTACACTTTTGACTTTTGAGTACTTCTTCAGATGGTCAGTAAGTAAAATTTTACTTTGTTCAAAATGTAGACATTTGAACTCAGACTCTGTTAGTGAAAAGCCTAACTTTTCCACAGACAGACATTTATTACTTTTATCCTATTTTATGGAATAAATATTTCATAAAATTTTAACCTGTTGTCTATTTGCTTTTAGTTCTGTATTGTCTTGTTGAAAACATTTTTGATGGTATAGATACCTCTTCAGTAGACATACCTACTTTAATGGTAACCCTGATATGATTGAACATGAACCTTCCGCTTACTTCTGCACCACTTGGTTTATTAGAAGTTAAAAAGAATTGAATTCCATTTCTGTCACTTGATATCCATTTCTGACAACATATTGTTACAAATGCCTTTTAAGAAATGCCTATATAATACATTGATCTGTGTCCTCAATCATTTTTTGTAATTTGTGCAGCTAACTTTTTATGCATAATACAAATACTTTTCTCTGAGTTCTGAGAAATAATTTTTTAAAGTTTCTTTGCTGTATTGCTCCAATGTATACGCATTTGCTTTATCAATTTGTTGCTGATAATGATTAAAATATTGCATTTTATCCACTTGTGAACTTACCACTGATATTTCATTTGCTTTATCAACTTTTTATTGATTTCATGAAATCTTTGTTCTCAGTTTTATATGAATTAATTCATATCCAATTAAGATTTATAATTAAATGTTTTTGTTAGCTTTGTGTAGCAAAAAAAACTTTAAACTTATTGTAGCAATTAATGCCTGCAATCGGCTTCTTTTGTCTCTCTCATCTGCAACATTTGTAGCCAATTCAACATAGCTGTTTGGGTATCAACCAATGGGGTCAAAACCAAAAAAAGAATCCATGTTCCAACACAAAGTTCAATTGAAAATCTGTCATAACAGTCCAGCAGGAAACGTAGTAATGAAAAACGGGGTCAGAAATCCAACCTTCACTTCACAGCAGCAAACACTCACTTTCACCCACCAAGCTCAAAAGTCGTTATATTTATTACTGAAATACAGTAATTGTGGCACAAGGCCAAAAGGAAAGTGAGGAAGGGCTGGTCTCTGCTAACTATCCTAGTCCTAGTCATAATCACAACCCATTCATCCAATACAATTTATCCATTTACCACAAGAACGCATTCCTCACCACTCAATCCTGCATATACCACAATACCACACATTCACAGGGGACCTACAAAACACCTCATGGTATAAAAATGTTATGAAAGTTCATAAAAAAAAATATATAAAAATTTCATGAATCATGAAATGAAAGGGAGGGAATGAACATGAGAACTAAGAAAAGATTGTAACAAAACAAACTAAACAAAACAGATGTTAGTAGGACCCGTCCACCCTTCAAAATAATAAGAACGGCTGCTGTATTCTGTCGGTAGACAGAATCAAGTAGCACACTTACTACTGGAGAGGGAAGGGTAAAATAAATGACAGAATTGGAAAATCAAAGTCTGATCCAGCTGAGTTTAAAAGAGGGGACAAAAACAAACTGGGGAGGTTGGGAACCTTGACAGGGATCATAACAATGGAGAATGCTGGGAACAGGCCAGACACCAGGAAAACAAATAGTGTCTATCTTAACCAGGAAACCGCCCTGTTGTGACGAAGATGACTTAAAAAAGGAACTCAAAGACACCCCTTTCACATGAACCAAGCTCGCTACTTTCACCAACCTTTTGCTGAAATCTGTCAACACCAAACACTTTCTATCAGTTCTGATCTTCACCTTCAGCTGATGCTGAAAGAATCTGATCAGAGCCTGATGAGAATAGCACTCATATCGCAAAATTTCCTCCATTCGCATTGTCCATATTACCATTCTTGCCACAGCTAGCAGCATTAGAAACACCATTTGTTTCACCCCAGAATATGGTGGTGACACATTATTGTGTGTGTATGCAAGGTTGATGAGCACAAGTTTATTGGGAGCAATACGAGCTGTCAACTCACCGACATAATCACAGAAAGGGTGCACCTGAGGACAATTGTAGAAGGCGTGTGAACAGTTTCCTCTAAACCAAGGTCACACCAGTGACCATCAGGCAAATCTGTCTGCCCCATCTGAAGGCCATGTCATTGAGAGATAGCATGTTGCAAATCAATTGTCAGGTAAGCGAAAACTCAGGGTTACTGAAGTAATTTGCTGCTGGTGCTCAAGACCAGAAAGAGCACAACTCAGCCAGTGACAAACCAAGCCACCCACAGAGAGGATCCTTCACAACCCCCGTCACTAATTCATGATACAAGACCTTTCAAGGCCATGAAAGTTCACTGGATTGAGGAAAGGCCATCAAGGCCCCTTGACACTTTTTGAAGAAAGTTAACAGTTTCCCGGACCTATGATGACACTTAGCCCAGGAAATGGGAGGAGTGATAGTAATGCTAGGGAAGGTTTCCCTAACATCTCCCACCAAAGTTGAATCCTCTGTCAAAACACAGTGTAGGAAAGCCAACCTCGAGCCATGTTGATGACTCACCAAGTGTGGCAATCCCAGCTCCAATGAGATGGATGTTGGACACAGGCTTCTTTACAGACCTTCTGCTTGTGACCACTCCCCAAAAGAGGGTGGACAAGTGCTAATCGCCTTCCTATGGTCTTTGCAAAGAGGAAATACAGCCAAGTGGTAAGGGATGAGAAGAAAGATGTAAGTGGCACACACCTCAGCACTATCCTTCAAGGACAACCTCCTTTGGAGTCAAGTCCAGACTGACACTCCAACCTTTGCCTGTACTTCTGATCAGTTTTTCTCCAGCTGGAGGTCAGGTGCAAACCACACTCCAAAAATGTGGACAGGACCATCTGTCCAACCAAAGAGCCCTGGAAGATCAACCCTATACTTCCAGGCACCTAACTGCAAACTGGAAGACTTGTTACAGTTAATCTTAGTCCCCGTAACCTTTTCATACCATTCAAGTACCTTCTGTACCACCTCAATGTTGCTGCAGCATGATCCAAAAATGGATATGTCATTGGCGTACATGGAAACCCTGGCTCAAATCCCACCAGGGACAGTGATTCCATGTAGGGCCAGATTGTACCACAACAATTGGGGAGTGATACAGGAGGCTATCC